TTGAGGGACTCCAACAGTAACAGGCTCCCATTTAGAGTAGAATTTAATTGAGTCAGAAACAACTATTACTCTCTGGTATCTATCTGATAAATAGGATCTAATTACATCATTAGCCCTTCCCTTAATCCCGTAATGATTCAACTTTGAAAGCAGAATATCATAGTTGACACTATCAAAGGCCTTGTGAAGATCACAAAAAGCACCGCCCACAGTTTCTTTTTTATTTAAATCAGTTAGGATATTATTAATAAGATAGTAAGCTGCATCATCTGTTGATCGTGCATGTCTAAATCCAAACTGTTCATTAGCAAGAATATTATTTTTCTTGATATGTTGTTGCATTCTATTATAGATTACCTTTTCAAAGATCTTAGAAATTGATGTGAGCAGTGAAATAGGTCTGTAGTTCGATGTGTCATTTTTATCACCTTTTTTATATATGGGCTTTATTTCAGAGAACTTTAATCTTAGTGGAAAATTGCCAGTTGTCCAGTTTTTGTCATCGGAAAGGAAAACTCTGGAAGTTTTTTTTTCATGCTGCCACATTTCTGCCACCATGTTAGGAATCACCCGGACAGAGAGATGGCTAGGAGATGGATCGGCAGAGGTGAACCAATTGCTTGGCCCCCTAGGTCACCATATTTAACACCAGTGGATTTTTTCTTGTGGGGTTATATGAAGAACACTGTCTACCAGGTTAAGATCAAAGACCTTCAACACCTGAAAGTCCGCATAAGGGACGCTGTGGCTACAGTAACATCAAACATTCTGTCATGCCATCAAGGGATATTTATTGAGAAAGTTATATACTTAAAAAAAAACCTTTAATAGTTTCACTTTGCAATGGTGTACCCCATAAATTTGTATAATAAATGCTTTCTGAGATATAATTATTTTATTTTCGATACCTTTCATTTGGACACTCTTTATATGAGCATGCAGTGTTCACCCTTTTGGAGGAGAGTCTGCAATTATATGTTTGCTTGTTTCAGTGTTTATCTTCCAATTCAAAATTTGAAGTCAGTGATCAAATAAATGGGTGGATGATGGATGTCTGCTCTATGATGCAGTCACTGAAATCACATGGCCTTGCTACAGCAACTCATATTCAATCATATCATGTGTTAAGTAATCCAGTGTTGGAGAGAGTCATCACCTCCCATCTGCAGACATTTGGTTGTACTGTTGTTATGGGAACATCTTCTGAAGACATTAATTCAGTGAGTTATACACAGGTGCACATTACCCATGTTTAATCCTATTTGAGATAGACCATCAAAAGTTATATTCATCTGCCCATTATTTGTAATAAAGTTTGACTATTCATTTCTGAATCAATGCATCTTGTTGCAGTATTTTTAATTACAGTATAAATCAGTAGTGTCCCACGAAGAACATTAATATTACCATCAGCTATCAAAATACAATATTATTAACTGATTGCAGTCATATTTTTACTACATATTTAGTTTCTCTCATCATTATCAGGCCCAGAACATTTTTAAAACATAAATTATGTGCATGCATCATAGCAGGGGGTGGGGTGGGGGGTGCTCGCACTTGTGCATGTAACCACAGAGTAAAACCCTCTTAAGACATTTTTAAAAACTAAACAAATTGACCTTATTGAAGCAGGATAACGTCTTGGAAGTGTAAACCATAAAAAAATAATTATTTTTTATAAAGAATTTTTCTTTTGAATTGAGGGTAACTTTATGAATGTATTATACAAAATTATTTGTGGGTTCACCTGAAATTCAACATTTATAGAACCAGATTTTCATACTTGAGAGAAGTTGTGGCAGCAGATAATTCGCTGTGCTGACAGCATTCTTGTGTACGCAAGTGGTAAGCTTGAGGAGTGCAGAACAGTACAAGAAGTCAGCCTTTGAACATTTAATGTATGATTTGAAGACTTTATGTGTGGTGTAGCACTGTAAAATTGGGAATGTGTGATTTATTGAAACTCTTGTAGTTCCTGTGTTTAAATTTGTGAAGACTAATGGAGATAGACTGGAGAGAGTAGCGTGGAGTACTTTTTTTTTAATTCGCTAATGGGGTGTGAAGTCTAGCTGGGTCCACTCGGCATGGCGGCCACTGATTGGCCTATTGTACCTGCCCTGGGTGATTATTATGATGAAGAATTTGGTGGAATGAAGATTGGCAGGGGAAACCGAAGTACTTGGAGAAAACCCGCCCCAGTGCCACTTTGTCCACCACAGATCCCACTTGACCAGACCTGGGATCGAACCTGGGCTTCCACGGTGGGAAGCCAGTGACTAACAGCTTGAGTTATGGCACAGCCCAATGTGGAGTGCTTTGTAACGTGAAAATCAGTAACAGTGTTAAAATTATTTGTAGTAATGGCCTGTAGGTGGTTAATAAATCCAGTTACCAATCTGAAACCCATCTTCAGTCACTGTGACACGTGACAGTATTGTCACATGTAGGGGGTATATGTGTGATGAAAATAACGGGTTCTAAATCGGGTAATTGGATTTATCGGCACTTTGGTTACAAGTTCTCTTAATCACACTCAATTATAATGCTATCACTATTCTACACACTTTCAGTTCACCGTTACACGCACACACATGAGGATTCTCACTAACACTCGAATCACTCTGAAGTCTTCTTGCCATTTCTTGTTCAGTCACCCAGGAACCTCAGAACTCAACTAAAATTCATCTTATCCACATGTGGACTCGCGTTATATAGCTGCAGCATGAACAGTGCAGACCACAGTTCTATTGTGTGGTGTAGTCACATGATAGCTATACAGCTAGTTCATTGGTGCACTGACTGCTGCCTAGTAATGAGCTATACCATTCATTCACTGAGACACAGCTTCCATCGTTGCCTGTTGAGATGTCTTTACAGAGCCTTTTCCTGACAGTGTATTGATCAAATCCATTACAATATACAGTAAAACTTGGTTATAGCAACATCGGTTTCTGCGACACCTTGTCTATTGCGTCAAATATTCAATGGTACGAACTAATTCCTCATAAAGCAACTGTTTTTATACCTTGCTTAGTACGACATGCACAAATGCATCAACCTCGTATGTAACGTCATTTTCATTCCTGAATTTCTCTGATATGGACATTGAACGTAATTTAGAAAGTGTGTATTGGGCAAGTAACAGGAAACAGATGAAGATAACTGATTACTGTACTCGTATCTAGGTACAGTAAGGCACAACAATTGATGTAATCTACTGTAATCTGGTGAGTAGGCCTACCTTTAATATACAGTATTAGTGCGGTGTGTATTATCAGTGAAAAGCGCTGTAATATGTCTTTGATATTACACATTTGGGCAATTCCACGTTAATGTTACATTAGTCTCTACTTAACTACGTATTTCACTAAAAAAAATGCAACATTTTAACTCGATTTTTGGTAGATTTTTACGACTAACGTAAGGCTACTGTGGAAGTGCCCATTTCGGTTACGACGACATTCGTTTATAACGACACTATTTTTAGGTCCCTTTGATGACGTTATAACCAAGTTCTACTGTATATTAAAACTACTGAAATACTGTGTCTAGTATGTAACAATGTGTCATGCTGTAATTGTATAATATTAAAGTTTAAGTTCTTTTTTTCTTGGGGTGAGACTTAGTCCACTTGGTACAGCAGCCACTGTTTGGCCTATTGTACCAGCCCCGTATGATAGATGATGATTGTGGAGCAGGCGGTTGAATGTGAATTGGCAGGGGAGACTGAAGTATTCGGAGAAAACCTGCCCCAGTGCCACTTTTTCCACCAGAAATCCCACACGACCTGACCCGTGCTCGAACAGTGGCCACTGTGGTGGGAAGTTGGCAACTACCCACCTGAGGTATGGCATGGACCTAACAATTTAAGTTAGTCAGTATTATACAGTTTAAGTTATTACAGTATTATGAGTGAGGGTAATGAATAGATAAGGGATAGGCCTTGACTGGCCCTTGCACTGTGACCATCATATGTGAGGGGAAGGCAGTAGACTTGTTAAAATTCTTCAGTGATGTATCTTCTAATACAAATATAGTCACTAATAATGTGGCACACATCGGAACCTTTCAGACAGAGTTGTGTTGACAGCTCTTAATTTTATGGTTCTAAAATAGTGCTTGTAAATGTACTACTCTGTCCAAAAAGTATCCTACCTTGGGCCGCAAAAAAAAAGTTCTGTATCTGGGTGGTTACAATACCTAAACACCTTCAAAGTAGGCCCCTTGTGACTCCACACACTTAGCTCAGCGGTCCTTCCATCACTGGAAGCAATTCTGGAAGGCTTCTTTTGGAATGGTATGCAGCTGCGCCGTCGTGTTCTGTATGATGTTCTCGCAGCTGTCAAAACGGCAGCCTTTTAGCAATGTCTTCAATGTTTTTAAGTATGTATGAACTTTCACAGATAGTTTATTCTGTGTGTGGTTTATATGCCCAATTGTGTGTTGGTGGAGAGAGATATGGACTAGCTCTGTTGATTAGGTCCAACTGAATAGGTTCCACCTGAAGACTGAGACAAAATCCACTCTCCGAAACATGTGTTTAAATAAAAACTGGACAATGGCTAATGTCCAGAAACACAGTAATTGTATTAATATACTTTCATCACAGACTTCTAGATCTTATCTACCTCAGTAGGTTAGATGTTGAGAAAACAAATTAATGGTACTGTTTTTGGTGGCCCCAGTGACTAATGTTCATTCTTGCATACTTTGCATGTAAAGAAAAGTCATGGGAAACACTGAGAATATTTTATTCTGTTGCAGTTAATTCTGTTCTTGGCTCTGTTCTTGGATACAGATGAACTACATTGTTCACGGTTTGTGCTTCCTCCTGAGAAATGTTCTTTCCATGCTGCTCTCTTCTTGCAGGTAAACTTCTGTAAACAAATACTACTGATTGTTTTGATGTAGAACTATGGCTTCATGGACTTTGTGGTTTGTTATGCACTTTCAAGATCTTTTATATTACATAAAAAGTAAAGCTGTCCCTGTACCAGGTCGTGAAGGCCTTATAAATCATATATTGAACAACTCATTGTTTTTAGCCTACTTTACTTATTTTGAAGAAATAAAAATAAGCTTATGATATCATTGTGGTGTATGTGTATCCCCATCAAGTTTTGAATGCCTGAACCAATCTTTATAAAACCAAGTCTGTGTATCATGGCACCTGAGCCCATCCCATCAGTCTGTGTGTTGTATATGTATCCTCCTATCATTGCCCAGTAAAAATGTTACCACAGCAATGATTACACACAACAGTAGAACTATTTTCATTGGTTGCATCCTGTTGTGTGTTCCAGATATATGTAGGAATAATGTTAACCGCCAATGCAACAAATATACTCAGTTTTAAAGTTTTACAATTCGATCTTTGTTCATGCTACATGTTTCAGTCATATAAGACCATCATCAGGCAGTTATATGTAGGAATACATATAGTTATTGCACTACCGATATGGATCCATACCAGTATATAATATGACACGTTGCACTGGTCTGGATCCATATCGGTAGTTCAATAACTACTACAGCAGTGGGCTGTGCCAGCTCAGACCTCTCAATGGTCTTCCCAGAAGTAGGGAGTAACATTTCTTTTCCAGTTCATCAAGATGTGTTATGAGGACAGCTTTTCTCCACACCACTTAACCACTTTTTTCCATCTCTGATGAAACGTGAACTTTTATTTTACAATGTCATTAAAATCACATTTTGTTTTTCTGTTGTGACATGTTTTGGCCCTATAAGGCCAACCACATTCAACTGTTGATCAACTGAAACCACCAAACTGTATTAGCTTGTATGTCAATATATTACATGCTGCCATTGCATGTCATTTGAGAATGCCTGCTCACGCTTAGCCATGCTACCTTCATATTGCGGCATCCACACTCTGTAATGTATAATATTGTCACGTGACAAATAATTTCATGCCTTATTTGATATAGCGAATTTATTCCACTCGCTTTTACAATCACACAATTTACAATCTGACAATTACTGCCATTTGCAGTATCACAAATACTCTTACAAAGATAGACAGCTGTTGACTGGTTAACTGACTCACTGCTGGCTAACTCATAACTCGTAACTGCTGCCTTGAGAACTGTCTTCGGCGGCTGTGTAATTCCCTTATAAACCCTCAGCCAGACAATGGGAAAACAGTTACGTAATAGGCACCACTGTTGTCTGGTGCCGTGTTTACAGGTGTTACTGGCAATGCTGTCAGGAGTTGTTTATGGCTGCATAGCAACTGCAGCATCCCTTGGCCACATCACTGCTGGCGGGGTAGGGGAAGGGGCATTGACTTGCCTATTACCCTAGTAACGACAGCGCTCCGATGGTGTTACGTCACTGCTGGCGGGGGGAGGAGTGTCCTGCATAGTGCAACACGTCACACTGCTCCCTCCTTAAGGCTGTTCATCCCGAATAGCCTAACAGTGCACCCCCCTTCCTTTTCTTCCAAGGATGTGCTTGGTGAGTGTCCTGTTGTTTGGGCTACTCCTCGCAGTGACTATTATCCGGCTGTTAACAATATAATGTCACATGTTTGGAATCTGGAAGAGTTACTTCCATGGAAATACAATAACAGTGGGCTGTTGCATGGGAATGCCCTGAGCAACAGACGCGTTTCCCCAGATGAAAGGACAACAGAGAGTTTGTTGCGAAAACAGCGGATTATTGAAACCGTAGAAACAAACCACTTCCTTGGTAACTGGTATAGGACATGTGAGACAAACTGTTGAAGACGGTGTTCACTAAGCAGTCCGGACAATGCCTATATAAGGGGGCAATGTGACTTTGACTTTGAGATACCCCGAGAGAGAGCTGGAGGATAGCCATCATTGAGTACAGTTGAAATATAGCCGCCACAGAAGTCAAGGTTGGGGGCCAGAGTTGGAAGATAATAATTGGATAATAATAATTGTACTCGTAACTGTGAGTGAGTGATTGTGGCTCATAAACTTGTTCACCAAATCTGAAACCCACGTGAAATTATTTGTTGCACTGCACAGGCAGTTCATTAATGCAAGTTTAAACACTTTTCTCCTGTTCCATGTGGCTGTTAGCATGTGAGCTTCTTTGGGATGTATTTAGTTTTAATCTTCCTTAATTTTCAAAATAAACAGGTTTCTGTACTTTGGTTCTGTATGCTGCGTAAGTCCCACATTAAGCATCTGAAACATTTTCAGACAGACGGAAAGAATAAAACATTTACATGGGCAGGGCACTTATTGAGAAACAGAATAAACTTTATTCCAGCTATTTCACTTTTTCTGTTCTTTAAGTAATGGAGAATAAAATGGAATACTGTGCTAGGAAGTAGATATTACTAAATGGGGAAGTGGTACTCATTGTGATGGTGCTGTCATCTACCATTGTAATAAATAATCATCACAGTTAAAAGAAACTTCAAATATTACAGCTTATATTTAAATTTGGACTTATATGTTTCAGTAATGGATTTACATGCCATGATATTTTAATTTAAATTAAAATAATTTGGAAACCAAATTTAATCTTCTTTTCAGTTTTATGCTTGATGTATTACTATTTTTACCAAACTATGTCATTACCTTAAATGATATTGTATTGAAAAACATAATTGTATTAAACTTAGTAAATTACCCTTGGATCTACTGGTTATTTAATATTAATTTTTGCCATGATACATTCTCTTCACTGCTCTCTCTCACCTATATGCACTAGAAAGGAAAGCCAGTGTAAGAAGAATCATTGACAGATTAATATATATTCAGAATTTACAGCTGTTGATTTTAAGTCTTGTGATTTAAATCAGTATATTACTGATCAGTGGAAGCTGAGGTCTTTTCCTTTTTATTTCTTTTCTTTCTGTGGTGCCTGTATTAATCATTTCACTGTTATGGCTAGACTTGTTCTACCATACCACAAAGTCCATTGCACATTATGGACAGAACATGTTTCCACTACGTATAGTGAATATTATAACAAAGTGTGGCCAGTGTGTAAGGCTGACAACCTTACCGCCATCTCTGAGCCGATTGTCTAGATAATGTGGGACCCTCAATGTCTCATGTCCATATGGGCCTTAACGGCCTGTTACGGGGATAGCTTTACTTACTTACCTGTTGGTTATGTCAAGAAATTCTATATTAAAGAAAGACATTAATGTCATGCATACACATTCAGTTTTGAAAGTAGTGGTATTGTATATAAGCATACAGGGATGCACATATAAATTGTGCAGCTCTGATCACATTCAGAAAATTATGAGAATATTGACCACTACAGCTGACTGACTTTATTTTGCTAACTGTGTAAGGTTTCAAATAGTGAACATCAGAAATCTTCAAAACACTGCACCCTGTAAATGATGTACAAAGGAGGTAGTGGTTTCAAACTAAACATTGGCAGCTACGGTATTTAAAATACTTCTGGAATGAGTATTCTGTTATTGCACTTAACATCTTCAACTTCATAAATGCTACGAATATCAGTTAAAGTAGGGCCAAAAGAATATTGAGAGACGAAGTGATAAGCATCACATTTATATACTGAGTTTCAGAGTTAGTGAGTGCCTGTTACATGTGTTTAGGGACTGCTTCTGAATGAGTTCGGTTGTCGAGAATTGTGCTCCATAGAATTGGCTTCAAACCCATATCCTGTAACTGCAGTGGATCTGACCCGAGGAGCTCAGGCAGCAGCAGTAAAACAAACTCCACTTCGCCACCACAGGTGGCAGGTGACTTGGTGGGAATACCATCTGCTTTCAGAAGAAGGGAAGGCTGAAGGACCAAGACATCCGGTGCATGAGTAAGTGACTTACTGTTTTGTTTAAAGGATTGCTATTCCCCTAGCAAGTTTTATCCATTCATTTGTGTGAGTATCACAGAATCTGGTTTTGACCCTACAAGTGTCAAATGTTGATAATGTTCTGATATGTTGGGTTTTTGGACTTTATCCATCGTCTTGGTTTTTAAGATAACAAATAAAAACAATGTTTCGGAAACTGGATCTGTTTCCGTCCTCAGGTGAAGGAAAACACCTAACCAGTTGGGTCCGTTAGAAAGAGCTAGCCTCAATCACTGGACAAACCGATGTCACAAAACATGAAGATTATAAACACCTGAGACCAGTTTCCGAAACGTCGTGTTTTTATTTGTTATCTTAAAGTTGGATAAAGTCCAAAAACCCAACATATCAGTGTGTTATACACCATCGTCAGAATCCTATAGTAACTAGTTCATAATGTTGTCTTTATGCAGGTGTGTATGGTGCCCAGGTCAAAATTTTTGTCCCTGCAAAACTTGCCATGTTTACAGTATATGACGATTTTTGACATTTTATCTGAATTGCATGTTCAAGCATTTGGATGGAATTTTTTTTCCGTGTATATGAAGTTCTTAAGGGGATTTTCTACGGTGAACTCTTGATCAGCTCTTGTAGTTCAGATAACTAAAAAGCAACAGATAATTTTAAAAAATCTGGAAATATTCACTATCCATGCTGCATTCAACCCTGAAAGTCAGTTATTACTAAATTATAGAGTAATTAACACCATCCAGCGAGATTCAGTTTGTAGATATTTATTGCCTTTACATGATCAACTGCAGAAGGCATAAGATCAACAGGTTCAGGAACTGCTATTACAAAGTTTATAATATATACTTAGAAGTTTTTATATTTACAATTATTTGGATTCAAATCTTATTAATGTCTGATATATAAGATCTTGAACTCATATGGTTTTTATCCTTGTGCCTCTTCTGTTAAAACAGAAAGTTGGGTTATTATTTGGAGTCCTGAGAGGTACCCACAGTGATGTCCCATTTTTTTACCTTTTTATGGTTTTGCAATTTATATACACATACACACACTATTGTTGTGATGTCTAGTTGTTTCCTTTCTGCTTTTGAGGCACTGTTTTGTTGTGTGCTGTGTAGCATATTTATACCCTTGTTATGGTGTGTGTCTGTCTATACAGGGTGTCCCAGGAGGAATGGACCAAACTTCGGGAGGGTGTTCCTTATGTTAAAGTATGCCGATATAACCCAAAACACCTATGTCCAAAGTTGAACGGTTATGGAGATAATGGCCAGAGAAGTGTGAAACTTTGACCGGTGTTGCACACTTGTTGATTACAAAATACATATTAAAACTGGCAGGAATATGTGGATTCTGTAATGTTAATAATGTACGTAACATAAAACTAACTTGTGAGTGACATGAAGCCATAAAATTGAAGTACAAAATACTCGCTCGCCATGTCATAATTGTCCTTAGGGTTTCCAAGCACTATACATGACACATGAATGGCAAGCGCTGACGTAACTTGGCTGACTGCGCGTTCTGATAAAGCCAACTACATAAGTACGGCTAGGGTGAATCACGGCACTCAAGGACAAACATAGATAAGGCCTCTCAGCTGATAGGTATAGTCCGTAGACCCGCTAGAAGACCACACTTTTCTCGGGCCATTATCTCCGTAACCGTTCAACTTTGGACATAGGTGTTTTGGGTTATATCGGCATACTTTAACATAAGGAACACCCTCCCGAAGTTTGGTCCATTCCTCCTGGGACACCCTGTATATACGTGGGGCAATCCAAAAGTTACCGAAATTTGAGTTTTGCGCGCGAATGGTTATGAGTACATCGAAATACCGCTAGGTGTCTCCTCACACATCCTTCTTGAATCAATGTGGCAACGGGCATCGAGTTGAGTGGTTGGATTTATTATTGGTGAACGTATTTCCATTGTTGTGTTTCTGTGAGTTTGCAGTTTTGCAATGGCTGACCTGAGAGAGCAGCGTGTCTGTATAAAGTTTTGTTTCAAATTTGGGAAAAACGCTGCAGAAACGCACCAAATGTTGAAGCAAGCTTTTTATGAAAACAGTTTAGGCCAGACACAAACTTACAGCTGGTATAAGCGTTTTAAAAATGGCCGAACATTGACTGATGATGACGATCGTTCGGGATGGCTGTCAACTGGCAAAACAGCAGAAAATGTCGCGAAAGTTAGGGATCTGATTCTGCAAGATCGTAGACTGACCATCCAAGACATCTGTAACACCTTGGGACTAAGTTATGGTACATATCAACGAATTTTGTCAGAGGAGCTGAACATGAGGAGGATTGCAGCGAAGTTTGTGCCATGACTGCTGCAAAATGAACAGAAGCAGCATCACTTGGAAGTCTGCAGGGAACTTCAGCAACAGCTTCAAGAGGATCCAAACTTTCTTTCGAAGGTTGTCACTGGTGATGAAAGTTGGGTTTATGGCTATGACCCTGAAAGCAAGCAGCAATCATTGCAATGGAAGAGCCCTTCTTCACCTTGGCCAATAAAAGCTCGACAAGCCAAGAGCAACATTAAGTCCATGTTGATCTGTTTTTTGATATTGATGGGATTGTTCATAAGGAGTTCGTCCCTCCTGGTCAGACAGTCAATAAAGAGTTCTATCGCGATGTTCTAAGGTGTTTGAGGGAGGATATGAGGAGAAAACGTCCAGAGAAGTGGCGCACGAACAACTGGGTACTCCACCATTACAACGCACGACCGCATACGGCTTACATTGTGAAGGAATTTTTGGCTAAAAACAAGATGGCAGTTGTTCCCCACCCACCATACTCGCCAGACTTAGCTCCATGTGACTTCTTTCTCTTTCCCAAGATGAAAATCAAGTTGAAGGGGCGAAGATTTGATACAGGTGAGGAAATTCAAGCGGAAACGCAGACTGTACTAAACACCCTAACAAAGAAAGACTTCCAGGATGCATTTGAGAAGTGGCAGAAACGCTGGGATTGGTGTATGCACTCCCAAGGGGACTACTTTGAAGGTGATGGTGCAGAATAAGATCTAGGTAAGATGTAATTTTTTTTTCGTTGGGACTACAGCCCCATTGGGCCTAGGCCTACCTCCATGAACTCCATTCACTTCGGTTTTTCTAGATCTTACACATACGGTAGGACTCCTTGGGCGAGTGATCAGCTCGTCGCAAGGCCTCTACCTGTAGNGTTATAATATATATATATATATATATATAAATAAATAAAAACGTAACTGTTGGTTTGTCTCTGGTCGAAGATCTCTGAAAGTTCTTCACCAATTGCTTCGAAATTTTGACAGAAGGTTGCATTCGAATACGCGCGTGTTTTTATATACCTATTATGTATATGTCACGCCTGTGACAGGTAAAAACAGGTAAAAAACATGTCACGTGTTCGGAATCCAGGAGTCGTTTCCATAATAACGCTAGAACAGACTGTTGCATAAGTTCTGTTGCGTAACAACGGATGAAACCAGAAAGTATACTTCCATGGAAACGCAATAACAGTGGGCCATTGCATAGAAATTGAGGTTCCATTGCATAACGACGGATGAAACCAAACACTTCTACAAGGTGTTCTGTGCTAGCATTTCCTAAGCAACAGATGAAACTAACTCTTTGATTAGGTATTCCCTATCCCGTCCGACCACTGGCTATTTGTATAAGAGAGTGTAGCTCCGGCGACTGTTCAGTATCACGAGTAACTCGAGTATCACGAGTCTGGAATAACCGCCGAGGAAGTGAGTCTGGAGTATAGTATATTTTTCATTGTTTTCATTTCGTTTTCTTAACTGTTCTTATTTTTCAGTGCAATTGGCGGTGGGATTGAGCTGTGTCGATTGATCTGCGTTTGAATTGAAATATTTTGTTAGTATTTTTTATTTTTTTTTGTTTCTTTGTTTTCCAGTTCGTATTCTTTCCTTTTTTAATGTTCTGCAATTTTAACAGTTGCATAGGATAAGAAGTTCCATTGCGTAACAACGGATGAAACCAGAAAGTATACTTCCATGGAAGTGCCGAATATAAACAGTCTACAGGAAGCCGCCGCCAGAGGCAGTCGAGATCCAGCCACGACAACATAGGCAGCAAAGCACTGGGCCAGGAGCTAAGCGAAATAGAATTAGTTTTGTTACTGCAAGTGGCAGTTCTTGCAAAGTATATAAGTGTAAAAGTGAAGAAAAATAAATACTCGCGTGACATGCCCAAATACGTTACATCTATATAAATATAAATTGGATTTTTATAGATTATATAGATTTTTTAATGTTTTGCAATTTCATACGTTTTAGTTATAACTTTCTTTCTTCTTCGGTGCAATCGTTCTGCTTGCAGAAGAAAAAGCTTAAGTCGTCGTACTCATGGAGCGGAAGCAATGCGTCGAGTAATTTCAAATCTAATTGGGGAAGAACGGGCAGACTGAGCCACAGCAAGGCGTGGCCGGGCACAGCTAGTATATAAGTAAAAATGTAAATGTTCGTTTGTTCAAAATCTTAAATCCCCGAAAGTTCTTCACTGATTGCTTTGAAATTTTGACACAAAGTTGCATTCGTATACGCATGTGTTTTTATATATCTATTATATAGCTGTCACACGTGTGACAAGGTAAAACATGCTTCTTTTGAAAAACAGCGCCATCTGTTGGACTTAAAAGCAACACACGCTATACTAAATATTTTACGATTCAATTTCACTGTTTCCGATTGCATTGTTAAATTCGATTTTCATAGATTTCGATTTATTTTCATTTTGATTTAATTATTTCGCGTGACATTGCGTTGGAATTGAGCTGTGTCGTTTACCATAGCGTTCAGTTCATGAGTATAGTTTATTTTTTTCTTCTTTCATTGTTTTTCATTTCGTTTTCTTAACTGTTTTCCTTATTTTTCAGTGCAATTGGCGGTGGAATTGAGCTGTGTCGGTTGATCTGCGTTTGAATTGAAATATTTCGTTAGTATTTTTTATTTTTTTGTTCTTTGTTTTCCAGTTCGTGTTCTTTCCTTTTTTAATGTTTTGCAGTTTTCTATGTTTTTGTTATAACTTTCTTTCTTCTTCTTGAGTGCAATCGATCTGCTTTAGTTCATCCAAATAATGCCTCGCAGAAGATCCAACTTAGGTCGTCGTACTCGCGGAGTGGAAGCAGTGCGACGAGTAATTGCAAATCAAACTGGGGAGGAATGGGCATCAGCGAACGAGTGAAACAGGCAAAGAATGGCTCAAATACGTGCTGAGGAAGCAGCAGAGCGACATGCAGCCAGACTTGAGGATGCACGTTTGCGAGCATGGCAATCGCGTTCTGCAGCTTCAGATCTGCTTCGTTCTCAACAAAATGAATGCGACAGGCTGAGAGTGGCTGAAAAACGTCAATGAGAAACAGCAGATCAGCGTCAAACACGACTCCATGCTCAGCAATCACGCGATTACAATCGCCTTGCATTCCGGTACAGCCCAGCTGAAGATTATAGTTTGAGCCAGCATTACTATCCAACACAGTTACAGGAAACGATGGATATCCTTCATACAGAAGAAGATGAGCAGAAGATGGCTGTAAATTAGCAACCATACAAATGCGAAACGGTGACATCGAAGTGGATAACCGGTGGGTTGTTCCATATTCGCCTTTGCTATCAAAAACATACAAAGCGCACATAAACATGGAATACTGTAACTCCGTTAAATTGATCAAATAAATTTGTAAGTATGTGAATAAAGGCAGCGACATGGCAGTTTTTGGCGTGCAACCAGAAAGAAGTGATAGGAATGTGGTCATATCGATGAAATCGCACAGTATCAGGCTGGAAGATACATAAGCAGCAATGAAGTTGTATGGCGAATTCTTTCATTTCCCATACATGAATGAAGTCCAGCAGTTGTTCACTTAGCAGTACATCTAGAAAATGGACAACGCGTTTATTTCACAACTGCAAATGTGCAACAAATAGCCCTGAATCCACCGGCTACAACGTTAACTGCTTTCTTCGCATTATGTCGAAATGACGCATTTGTGAAAACACTGCTGTATTCGGAAGTGCCTACGTATTACACATGGAATGCGAGTAGAAAATCATTTGAACGACGCAAACGAGGAGAATGAGTCGACGGACAAACTGGCATATTCAAAGAAACTACAATAGGCAGACTGTACACCGTGCATCCCAATCAATATGAATACTTCTTTCTTCGCATGCTCTTGGTAAATGTGCCCGTCCAATGTCTTTCCAGCAATTGAGAATTGACACTGGGATGTATGCATTACTGACGCATGCAACACGTCACATCCACATCAAATTCGTGCATTGTTTGCAATCATATTGACTGCCTGCTCTCCTTCATCTCCAACAGAGTTATGGGAAGATGGCTGAAGATATTTTCTGTTGAATACGCAAGGAAAATTCCAATATGAACATGGATGTCACAGCAGAAATCTACAATGAAGCGTTGATAATGATTGAAGATTTGTGCTTAGAAATCGCGAACGAAGTTCTCAATCAATTGGGAATGCCATCACCAAATCGATCTGCTGCTGCTTCGTTCAATGTATAATTGCGTCGTGAACAAAATTACAACCCGGGTGATCTTTTGTCATATGTGCAATCAAATATTCCTAAGATAACGCTTGAGCAAAAAGGCATTTACGATCAAATAATGCAAACTGTCAATAACGCAAACTTATTGTTTGGGATGAATGCACAATGGCACACAAAAAAACGATCGAGGCTCTTCATCGATCACTGCAAGATTTGCGTGGAAACATCAGACCATTTGGGAACGCATTATTATTGCTTGCAGGAGATTTCAGGCAAACATTACCTGTAATTCCTCGATCGACACCTGCGGACGAAATAAATGCTTGCCTGAAATACTCTACTTTGTGGCGACACGTAAAGACGTTAAAATTAACTACAAATATGCGTGTCCAGCTGCAAAACGATCGATCAGCTGAGATATTCTCACATCAATTGCTGGAAATTGGGAACGGAAAGGTGCCGGTTGATCTGACCTCAGGACGAATTTCGTTGCCTCATAACTTCTGCAATTTAGTGACGTCAAAAGAAGAATTGGTTGAAAAAGTATTTCCCAATATTCAAACCAATTATAAGAATCATGATTGGCTGAGTGAACGAGCTATTCTTGTGGCCAAGAACAAAGACGTCTACGAACTTAACAATATCATTCAGTCTAACATTCAATGCGAGGTAGTCACATACAAGTCCATCGACACTGTTTAGGAAGCAGATGAAGCGGTTAATTATCCAACAGAATATTTGAATTCACTCGATCTGCCAGGGATGCTACCGCACGTACTACAATTGAAAATAGGCGTGCCAATTATCATGTTGCGAAATATCAACCAGCCAAAGCTTTGCAACGGCACGCGGCTCGCAGTAAAAAATTATTGAGCAACGTTGTAGAAGCAACAATCTAGACAGGACCTTTCAAAGGTGAAGATGTCCTCATTCCTCGCATTCCTATGATTCCAACGGATGTGCCATTTCAATTTAAGAGATTGCAATTCCCAATTCGATTGGCGTTTGCAAACACCATCAACAAAGCTCAGGGCCAATCTTTAGAATTGTGCGGTTTAGATCTAGACATGGGTTGCTTCTCACATGGACAATTATATGTTGCGTGTTCTAGAGTCAGCAAACCAGACAATCTCTATATCTGCACAGACAGTGGAACAACAAAAAATATTGTATACCCACAAGCATTGTGAAATTAAACATATTAGAAACGTGCGCTTTCTCTTTTCTTTCTTTTCCATTTAACCAGACTGAGCCACAGCAACCTCTGAGGACTCCAAATAATACCCCAACAACTGCTGTAGTTGGACATGGATGGAAATGGTTTAACATGGTTAAGTGAATTTCTCATCATATAACATTGTTTATGGCGGCACACGGTAGCATAATTGGTTGAGGCACTATGCTGCAAGTCGGAAGGTCGCGGGTTCAGCTCCCAATGAGATCATTGGATTTTTTCAATTGACCTAATCCTTCCGGCCGCACTATGGCCCTGGGGTCGACTCAGCCTCTAACAGAAATAAGTACAAGAAATTAATTAACTAATTTTCCTGAGGAGTAAAGAGCGGCCGGCGTTTAAGTCTGACAACCTTACTGCCCTCTTTGAACTGATTGTCTAGATAATGTGGGACCCTCAACATCTCACAACCCTATGGGCCTTCATGGCCTGCTACAGGGATAGCTTTACTTTTTTTTTATAACATTGTTTATAATGAATTTCTATGTATTATTTGTATATGTAACACTTAACTTTCTTAGTACCATTCACATGGGCTCATTAGTGTGGAAATGTCATGCGTATGTTTCAATTAGTGGCATTTGTATTACAGTGTGTTTCACAAGTAACGTGTGTTGGTCCCATTCCTGGAACAGATGCCAAATACAGGTACATTCACAATTTCATTATAATCCATCCCTGACATAAATGAACAGGAAGAACAAGACCATGGAATAATGGATGAAGGAGAGGTGGTAGAGATTTTGGTATTTCCATAAAGACATGTCCTACAAGGGTTGATGGATACACTCCTCCATCTTTCTATTAGTGGTGTTAAATTTAGTCTTCTATTTAATCGATTTCTTCCACCATATGTTCATGCCCTTTATTCTTTCAGGAGTATGTTGCATCCAGTGAAAGAAGGTGCAAGCCTTGTATGTAGTCTTCTGAAGGACCTGAGACATCTACCACCAGGTCTCTGGTTGACATATATACAGCTGTTTAAGCAGAAACTACATTCCTTGGCCTTTAACCTCCTCAGTCTTGTTTGCTGGATTAGGTATGATTCTAATTTATTGTCCTTAAAATTAAGTATTTAATCTGAAGTGCATTCCATATTTTTTATTCATCAGATTTTGTTGGTAGCGTGAAGATTTCCAGTAGCTCAAGTTGTCATAGCTTTTAAATTGTAAATACAGGATGTTTAGTTGAGTCAGAAACTTGCTATTTGCCAGAAAATGGTGGTAGTTTACTATGTGATTGTACAGGTGTCAGTACTGCTGGATGTCTTATCAGCTTCTGCTTACATATTAATTTCAGAACTGAATACTGTAAAAAGGAGACGCAGACTTGACATAGTTCATAAGAACTGCTGGAAGTGGCCCACTTTTTCTTTCAGGCATGCCTCACATCATATGAACATTTCTGAGATGCAGTCCAAAGGTTATTCAGGAAATGAAACAGTTAAATGTGTTATTTCATTCTGAAGAGCATATGTGTTTAAAGGATCATTATACTCTTTTTATCTTCAGGTTACCAAGAAATAAAAAGCACAGGTCTCATCTCATTATTTCTGTCACACAATTACAAACTGAAACTAAAAAATGATTTCATCAAAAAAATAAAAGAGGAACAATGTTTGTTTGCTTGGGTTTAATGTATCCAATATTTTCTCTTCATTATCGTAAAGAGTGTTGGACAAGTTAGTCCATACTGTTTTCCTTTTTCATTTTTTGATGAACTGCCAGTTTCACACATATATTATTTCAAACTTCATATTAGGTCTAAGCTCTTCCATTTTGTTGCCATAAATGGGGTTTTTAAAATGTTTGTATATGGTGTCAACCAAAGTACAGTAGATGTTTTGATGGGGACAGAACAATGAACATAGCACACATTGTTGTGTTCTGTGACATCTTCATCTAACTTAGGGCAGAGGAAGGGGAAAGCTGTGGCACAAGGAAAAGAAAATACTGCACAGTCAGTGCCTCGGTAAACTGCAGTAGAATTTAACTAGTCAAGTAAAACAAGCTGTTTTACTGAAGAGGTAATTCAGAGGATGTCATATGATGTACATCTCTCAGTGATTAAAACTTGGAAGGGGTAAGCGGATCTCATATTCTGGAATGCAGACTTTCTCCAAGCCAGTAGGACACGAGTGTTAATGGGACCTCTACAGACTGTTAACCATAAATAACTTCAGAAGTAGAACTGCAAGCGTAGTTGAAGAAAAATGTTGCCGTGGCAGCTAGTTACAGTTCGGTCATTATGAGGGTGTTGGGGAAAAATGTTCTGTGCAATGGTTTTTTATATATGTGACATTAAGAAGTTGAAGGTTCCAGGGGTTTTTTTCTGTGAAGCCCTCATTATAAGCTGTAATTACTGTGTTATTGTTTCACTGTGTTCGCAAGGAATGATTCTTAGCTCTGTCTGAATATCTTCAGTTAGGACATTTTGTTTGGATTTTTCCATTTTGTCACAACCATGACATACTGACAAGCTTCAGTACACATGACTCTGAGAACCTCCAAATTTGTTGTCTGTAAACTTTCTTCTGTATGAATGAATTGTGTACTTCATTGCAATAGTAATGGAATTCTGACATTAAAACAAACATATTAGAGCGAAAGCATTGAGTTTAATACACTCATGTATTACAGTATCTTTTTGAGTGTGTGAGTGGGTCATCATATCTTCAGGACATTCAGAGATCTTATTTGAAACAATATTAATACTCATTGCATGCCATGTAGAATGCATAGGAAGATGAGAAATGCACACAAAATTGTAATCCAAAAATCTGAAGGTAAGAGAGACACTTGGGATAAATAGGCTTATACATGAGTATAATATTAAAGCACAAAATAGGTTGTGAGGATGTGGACTGGGTTCATGTAACTCAGAAGAGTCCAGTGATGGGCTCTTCTGAACATGGTAATGAATTGTAGGGTTCTGTAAAAGGTGAGTAAATCTTAATTATCTGAGCAGATATTAGCTCCTTATGAAGAACTGTGACCGCCTCTGTGGTCTGGTGGTCACAGTTCCTGGCTACAGATCCAGAGGTCCGGGTTTGATTCCCAGCGTTACCAGATTTTCTGAGAAGTAGAGAGTCTGAAATGGGGTCCACTCAACCTCGTGAGAATAATTGAGGAGCTGTTTCAAGGAAATAGCAGCTCCAGTCTAGAAAACCAAAATTAACGGCTGTGGGGATTTGTTGCGCTGTTGACACGACGCCCTCTATTTGCTAAAGTTGGCACTAGTTTCGCTGACAGGCAGTGGTTGCTCAGTTGGTATAGTTCACTTGTGGACTAAAACCATGGATTTTTTTTTTTTTTGGTGTGAAGAACTGCACTGCGTGGAGTTGGTTGTTGAACCTTTGGAGTACCAGCTGATAATTTTCTTATATTGAAGAGTGTTTCTAATATGCAACTCTTTATATATTTTCAGTTGAGAATTTATAGGTTTTATTTTCCAAAGAAATAATATTGCACCTTCTTGCCATTCCTAGGATTAAACTTGCACCTCTTTGATCTTTTTTCATATTTATTGATTCAGTTTTCTTTACTCTAAGCTGCAAAAGAAAATTTTGGAAAATACAGAAGTAATATGAAAAGTGACTGCATTGATTCTGCATGCAGAAATGGCTCTGACAAACCTGGACACTGCAGATACTTAGCTCAGGCACTGGGCCTGGAGGAAGGAGACCTGCTTATTGTTCTGGCTGTCGCAGAGAAGCTGCAGCCTGGTGTATATGCCTTCGTCATGGATGATAATTCAGTTCCTAGGTGACTGCTTGAGGTATTGGTAATTAGAAAGTATAGTCAATTTGCCAATTTTATATTAATTTACACAATATTCTGTACTATAAAAGTAGAAGCATTGTTACATTAAACTTGTTATAATGAATCGATAGTTAACCCTTTCTGGTCATCGCTTTGAAAAAATTTCTGCAGCCAGATTGTCAAGGGATTTTTAAATGCCCACAGAGTCACTAAGCGAGCTGTTTTGCTCAAGAAGTTGGTACAACAAGGGCATAAAGTGAAAAGCAAAATGTGAACTTACCAGCACAATGCAAGAAGACAAATTCCCTGCCTTATAGTGGTGTATGACAATCAAGTGTGGAGAGAGGTTTTAGTGTTTTACTGGCTAAAATTGCTTTTCTCTAGAATAAAATATATGCATATTCCTTTCTTCTTATAACTATCACACTTCTATGTACACAAACAACAAAAACCCGATAAACTATAGGCCCCACACTAAAACTTTTTGAAGTTTTTGAGAGTGTGATTTATTTTGAACACAAACAACAAAAACCTGATAAACTATAGGCCCCACACTAAAACTTTTTGAAGTTTTTGAGAGTGTGATTTATTTTGAACACAAACAACAAAAACCTGATAAACTATAGGCCCCACACTAAAACTTTTTGAAGTTTTTGAGAGTGTGATTTATTTTGAACACAAACAACAAAAACCTGATAAACTATAGGCCCCACACTAAAACTTTTAGAAGTTTTTGAGAGTGTGATATATTTTGAAACATTCCCCAGGACACATGGATGTTCGATTTGTGCAGGTCTTAACAATAGAAGTTCTGAAATTTTGTATCTTGCATACCAGTTTGTCTCTATAACAATGTTATTCAAAAGCTCGTCATTGAAAAATGAACCAAAATAATCCATGAGCTCTGAATTTGGTAGAAGGTTAAGTTGTGGCCCTGCATTTTTAGTAAATGTGTATGCCTTGGGTTTCTTGTCCCACCCATCAACACACATAACACTTGTTTCACTCTCGCTCTCACTTTGACATTCCATTGCTGGATTCTTCATTCGCAGTTTCTTCTACATTTTCCAAATCCATCTGATCATCAGAGTCTATATTGAGTTCTTCATTTAACAGAACAATAACTGACTCTTCGTTCTCAACACACACAGTATTTTATTTCAGTTCTTTCATGCCAGAAGGCACACACATACGAGAACACAAAGCCATGTTCCTAATACTGATATGCAGTAATATATGAATGGCATTCGTTCCTCAAATAGTTCAGATTATGACTTCCAGATGGAAGGAGAATGCAGACTAAACATTCATGATTGCAGTGGTATAGTATACAGGGGCAAGTAGCGACATATGACCAACTTATCATTAGAGAAATGCGAAAAAAAAAACTTTGCGCACACATATCGACATTTGTCTGTGGGAGAACATAATCAGTGTTGATATATATCAATGTATGATGGGAAAGGGTTGACTATATAGTGCTGTATTTGTGGATATATAATAAGGATCGTAATAGTTTGCATCCTGTTGTGTGTCTCAAATAAGATATAAAGCATACAAGAATACACCATCTACACAGATACATATATAAATATAAAATAAGTCTTTGTCAAAATTTAACTGAATGTACTTAAGTGATACAATTAAAATTACAACCTAAAAGGTTAAAGTTAAAAATATGAGAAATTAAAAACCAGATGCTGAAGATTAAGACAATGAAAGTTAAGTGTGATATGTTGGGATTTTGGACTTTATCCATCGTCCTGGTTTTTAAGATAACAAATAAAAACACGACGTTTCGGAAACTGGATCTGTTTCCGTCCTCAGGTGAAGGAAAACACCTATTCAGTTGGGTCCCTTAGAAAGAGCTAGCCTCAATCACTGGGAAAACCAATGTCACAAAACAAGAAGATTATAAACACCTGAGACCAGGCTAAGTCCATGAGAGCTAATAAGNCTTTGAGACTCCTACATGTTGACTTATTTTTGCCAGTGGAAGTGACTATATGATAGAGCGCCCACGTAATGGAATCTTCTCATGTGGGATAGGTCATGACACGACCTTAATACTGTCTTGAACTTAAGCTCATAAATTGTTCCTTTCTTATGAGCGGACTATATGCAGGCTGCTCACTACATTGTTGTTGTCGCTGTGATGTAGCAGTACAGACTGGTACAATCTTGTAAGGAAGGCTGTGGCTCAAAAAGGGCTGTTTTGGCAGTGATGATGATTTATTATAATTTGATATACCTTTAATGTATAATGTGTTGTAAGACTGAAAAAAGTAAGTGTGTTATAGTTTATGATCCAAATGACAAAACACCTCTGATATCAGAAATTAATATTTCATATTCATCAGGAAAAATCTGAGTATGATTTTTAGTCTAAAGTTATTTACACTGATAGACAATGAGTCATGTTGCTTTTTATCAGCATTGTACAAACGTACTTAGACCAATGGATCAATCAGTCAAACAATCAATTTATTTGTTCCAAGAATCCATATTTGGTGATACAACCTCTGGATATAGAACAAGTCAGTAACTACATATTGTCACGTGTTGGGTGTATACGCGACAAATAACTTCACACCGTATTGGATATAGCGAATTTTATTGCACGTTCGCTCTTACAATCACACGATTTACAAATCTCACAATTACTGCTATCAGCAGTATCACAAATTATTGTATCAAATCTTCTAACCACGCGTTCGGGTCTTCTTTCCGTGACAGTTGCTAGATCCCAACTGTCTTCGGCAGCTGCTACACTTTAACTGTGTAACTCCTGATCACACACTCCCAATTATTACTCAGTTATCACAAACTATCACTGATTATCACACACACGTCTGGTTATCACAAACTATCACTGATTAGCGCACACACGTCTGGTTCTTCTTTCTGCGACGGCTACTATATTCCAACTCAACTCGTAGGCTGCTGCCTTGAGAACTGTCTTTGGCGGCTGTGTAGTTCCCTTATAAACCCTCAGCCGGACAACGGGAAAACAGTTACATAATAGGAACCACTGTTGTCTGATGCCGTGTTTGCCTGTTACGTAATGGGTACCGCTGTTATTACTGTCATCTCTCGCAACCACTGTTTACCCGCTTTGCATAGCGACCAGCATGCTGGGACTCTGCTCACTTCGGCTCCACTCAGAACATCACGGCTGGCGGGGAGGGAGGGGCATCATCCATAGCGCAACACGTCACAATATTAATATAACATACATATCGTACATGAGTCAACTATACTATAAAACTTAATTACCTACAGATTTCATACAGATCACTCATAACAATACATCATTCCACTTGCAACAGTGCAATAACCAAAAGAAACCCTGCATTCAAATTTTTTTTATAGATTAAGTGAGGACAAGATATTTGTCATAACATAAAAACCATAACACACTCACTTAAGAATTAAAGGGACATAAATTCATCAACAGAATAAATGGAATGTTTCAACAGAAAGGATTTTAAGTCCCTCTTAAAAGAGTTAATTTTTTTTTTAATTTTATTTGCTTAGGGACCTTATTGTATAAGGCAATGCCCATATTTATAACGCTTTTCTTAAAAATAACTGTATTTAATGATTTACATGTAAATTTAGTTTTCTTCGTGTATTGTAATTATGGATGTCCACATTTTTTGCCATAAAGTCTTTATATTTTTTAATAAAACATATCACTTCAAAAATGTATAGCACTGCCAGTGTTAAAATATTATAATGTTTAAAAATTTGTTGGCATGACGTTCGATTATTCAGCCCACTGATAGTTCGAGAGACCCTTTTTTTTTTTTTTCAGTTTAAAGAGTTTGTCACTTTCTTTATCCCCACCCCATAATATAATACCGTACTGCAGACAAGACTCAGAATTTGAAAAGTAGATATTTCTTATCATACATGGGCTTGTAGTTTCTTTTAATGTTTTTATCATATAAACTACTTTGCATAGCTTTGCTCTTAAAAATCAAGCATGGGTGCCCCATTTTAGGTTTTCTGTGATGTAAATACCTAAAAATCTCAGTTCTGATTGATAGGCGATTTATATAGTTTTAAAATTTATTTGTGGTCTTAACGGAACTCTCATTTATTATTTCTTAGTGAAAACCGTCACAACACAACAATCAATAATACGTGTAAGTAGCTCTAGGAGATACTTTTGCTACATGTTTCAGCCTTCAAAAGGCCATCATCAGGCAAGTATATTAAACTTTTCGTTATTGAATTGCAGTTGTATATGTGATGGTATTTGGAAGTTGGCAGTTGTAATCATATGTAATGCTTATATGGACATATTATATACACAATGGCTGATGTGTTCAGAGGCCATCCAAATAAACCATTAAGAACTGACTGTATTGCTCATACTTATGTGATGCAGTATTAACAGTATTCCTACATATTTCAGTGGGAGCTAAGAAAATGTATGTTTGAAAGTGGTGAACTGCCTGTTATCCAGCCTAGGAGCAGTGGTGTGAGCCACAAAGTACAAAGTGGATGGAGGATAATTTATCATCATGACATATGTTTTTTTAATACAGTGTGATTCTAAATTATTGTCGGGATTTCCGTGACCCATAATTTTCAAACCGGAAACAGTAAAATAAAATTGCCTATGGAATATGAAAGTGTAACTCAAAAGTTTTATTATCCCTAGAATCAATACTGCAGAGTGCTAAACAACTGTTTGAGTTACACTTGCATATTCCATAAGCAGTTTTATTTTGTTGTTTCAAGTTTGAAAATTATAGGCCATGGAGACCCCCAACAATAATTTAGAATCACATTGTGTGAGGTGTCACAAATCTCCAAAGTACAAAAATAAGCACATCAGTGATAATGATTGTGTTTATTTATACAAGTATGATCCAATTTTTACCATTTATGACCTTGAAACTGTTGCTATGACTGGGTACAGTAAGATCCTCTCTGATGATCAACTACATTCTTACAGAATAAAACATTTTGGACTTACTGTGAAGAAGAGAGAGTCTCCAGAGTACCACACTTTACTATGCAGTGGCACTGACATTCACCCTGATGAGACTACCTAAAGATGTTTTTAAAGCAGTATATGGTATATATATGCTATTCATATTAAAAGCATTTACAACATAAAATTAGTCATACTGGGGCAGATAATTGTGTTGGCAGGTATTCCTAATATTTAATATTTTGTTTTTGCAATAAGTTCAAGTTTATTGGCAGTACTTATTAAAACATCAGTATCAACAGTTCATGATTCTGTTGTGTGGACTTATGTCTTTCGGCTTCTAGAATTGTTTTTCCTTTGTTGGCTTGAAGTGAGATGACACACTGATTGCTGAGCTGTTGTCCTTGAGAGTCGATATGTTTTCACAGTTCTGTGATGGTGTAAAGTATGGTTTGCATTTCTGACAAATGTTTGGCAGAGTCAAAATAGAGTGGTTGTACAGCAATGCTTATTGTAAACATTGTATTAGCAGAGTTTCTGTTTTAATACTTGAGAAAACCCATGTATTATCACTTAATAAAATAAAGAAAGCGATAAGCACACTGGAATTTGATTGGCCAATTTTGCACATGCAGCTATGTGTTAGTACATGATATTTATGTCAGTAGTGTTAGTGGATGGTATTAGGTCTTTAGTTCTGTAGTTATAAGTTATAACATAGTCTTTCATAAACACACTTGAGTAATATAGAAATATATTAAACTTCATTGGTGTCAGCACATATTTTATCATAGAAACAAATTTAAAACAAATAACTAACAATTATGAAATATATTTATGTTAAAATTTTAGGCAAAAGTGTTTCAGTCCAAGAAACTTAAATAACCCTACATTTCCCCAATATAAAGGATTTTTCTAAAACTACCTGTAAATATTACATGGCATTCAAAATTCTGAAAGTGGTGCAGCAAGCACCAGACAGCAACTTTAATGTGATGGAGTGGAGTTTCTTGTATAATATGACAACTTTCTATACTCCAGTGCCTGTTATTTTGTGTGTCCCTGTGTCCATTCAAATAAAACCAAGGCAAGTCCCGCTTAGAAAGAATTTCACCTTGGGATCAAGTTCACTTTCATGGAGTGCCTGAAGATACCAGTTACAGAAATGAAGTCTGACTCCTGGGTCCAGTAGCTGCAGTGAGTACACTACTATGGTTTTAGAAAGCAATAGTTTCGGTAATGTGTAGCTGTTCTTATAACCCGATTTGATACTCCTCTTTAATATGGAAGATACTTAACAGATTCACAACATGAATATTCAAGCTAAGCTCCATCTTGTTCAGTGTTTCTTCTGTTAATCCTTTATGTTTTGATTTTCTGTCAGTGAGCAGGCCACTTGTTCTTTCTTCATTGACAAGATTCTGAATAGTGGTTCCATGGAATCTTGTCCTCCAGGAAATTTTCTTGTGAATTTCCTCTGATTCTTTGTAGTGGAGTTTACACTTCAGATTACATTATGTAGAAATATTTGATGTTTTAGTGTAGACATCCATGCACTTCACAGAGTAAATTACTATAGCAAAGACCCAAAACCAACATTCTTAATAAAAGCGGAATCTATGAACTAAAGTGTAATGATTATGAATTGAAATACATAGGACAGACAGGTAAAAAATTTTTGAACATGCTTTAAGGAACATATCAAAGCAGTAAGAACTAACAAACCGAACTCTAAGTTCACACAGCGTATACTAGATACACAACACATGTGACATGACAGAAAAAACAATGGACATACTTCACATAAAAAAGAGGGGCTCCTATTAAACACATGGAAATGTCTCTACATACACAA